AAGTGCTTCTCCTCATGCGTAAAAATGAAAACAACGGTGCAGTGTTTAAAGATTATTTCCGATGACTGACATCACAGGATTAATCGGTATTTTGGAGCCGACGTGTGCATGATCTCTTAACGGTAAAAAAGCTAGATTGCCTTTGCTTGTGTGAACAGCATATTTGTGTATTTGCCGCTAAAGTCGTTCTGGTAATTTTATGAAAATGAATGAAAATCAGACATTTGTGGGCTATTTTGATTTAAAATTGTTCCTAATTTTGTTTTGGAGGGCTCCTATAATAGGTTTACAACAACAAAAAGAAAAAAAAACATTTATTCTGATGAATGGATTTTGATGAAACATTTATTTTCATGAGCAAATTATGATTTTTATTTTTAGGTGAACTATTCCGAAGAATATTGTCATAATTTGTTTTAACTCTTATTTCAGCATGTGAAATCCCCATCTGTTTCCTGTCTGGATGTTGATTCGTCACCACCGACCAACGATGCCACGCCCTCTGTCCTGACCACACCCACTACAGCTGTCAAATCACATCGGCGGTCTGTCTCCTGTGGCAACAACCCCACCAATAACAAAACAGAGGCGGGGCCTGAGATCAGAATCGTCAGAATACGGATGGATTTACATGACGGCAACTTGTATAGAAGCATTCTGGTAATCTAACAAACTAAAGTCAAATGAAAGTGAGAAAAAAAAATGAATTCTGAAGTGTTCCCACACTTTTGGGCTTTGAAACTGCTGTATTTCACAGCAGCAGTCCAGTGTTACATCAGACCGACTTTTGCATTTCATGTCAGCTCCTGTTTAATATGGATGCTGTCGCTCTTTGTTCTAAATGTATACTTTCTTTTCTCTGCTGCCTCAGGTCACTAGTAATGATAAAACACCCACTATAATCAGTTCTGCATTAGAGAAGCACAACCAGAATGCCCAAGAAGCCTCTAAATACGAGCTGATCCAACTTCTGCCGGAGGGGAAAGGTCAGGTCACATTTTTTTAAATATCATACGGTGGTGTTTATTTTGGGTGTGTTGATCATATCCTAAATTGAGAAAACATTATTGTGGGCATAATGATTTGACATAGTGAATTATGATTTAAAAAAAAAAAAAAAAAACAGATGGCTGTCAATCAAATAAAATATTTTAATAAATGATGAATTAATATACACCATTGCTCAAAAGTTCAGGGTCAGTACATTTTTTACAAAAATGTAATACTTTTATTCAACAAGGACGCATTGAATTGATCAAATGTGAACGTAAAGACATTTATAATTTGTCACAAATGCAGTTTCAACATAAATATAACTATTTTCAACTGTGATAATAATGAGAATTGTTTTTGAGCAGCAAATCAGATTGATTTCTGAAGTCACTGTTCAGGGACCAGGGTAATGTGAAAAATGTTATTTTCAATTGTAATAAATTTGATCAATTTGATCAAATAAATGCAGCCTCTGTGAGCATGACTTCTTTTTTTTTTTTTTTACTTTATTTTTTAATCTAACTGACCCCAAATTTTTGAATGGTGGTGTATATATATTTATTTTATTTTATATTATTTAATCCAAATTATTTTAACTAATTATATTGAAAAAATTTAACATTAACAAAATTATTTAAACTGATTAGGCGAACTATATCATTTACTCTATTTATGGTTGTATGAGTATTTCTTTTCTTCCTCCACAGAGCTAATAATACCTCCGACAGGAAATGTCTTCTATGCCATGTCTTCAGCTAGCGTGGACTTCCTGTTAAGGAGAAGAGGAGGAAACACACCGACAGGGTCTCCGTCTCTTGGCAACGAAACCAGCGCAACCTTCCCACGAATCAAAGCCAAGGGCAGAAGACTAGTCCGGACACTATTTTAACAGAAAAAGAGGATATTCATGTCCAAGTACTTTCAAAAGAAAAGACACAAAATGTTTCATTCAGCGCTCTGTGACGTAACTGTGTAATATTGACTCAAAAATAATTTTCTTAAGCCCTAATTTAGTAATTTGAGAGAAAGCATGGTTGAAATGGCTCTAAAAAATTAGTTACTGCTAAAGATTGCACTATTCTTGCATTTCATAAATCCATAATGAATTTCAAGACAGAATCATGTACCTGTTGCTGATGCCAGCATCCCCCGTCTACCTCTAAAGCTCATTGGTTACAGTAAAGAAAATCCATTATTAATGAACTGAGAGAGCAGATAAAAGATCCCAACATATAAAATTAACACTTACAGAAGGTACTTACACCTATCTAAATATTTCAAACCCTGAGCTGTTCTGTGTGGGCAAAAAGCTACTGAAAAACACCCACTTACCTGAGGATGAGTCGCAAAAAAAAAAAAACACTGCCACTCTCGAATGGCCTCACCAAGTATGCAAACTGATCGTTGCTTACTGTGTGCTTTCTCTTTAAATATTCAAACAGAATTCATTATGGGCATGTTAATAGAGTGTCGAAGTGATGATGTCACTTTCTAGGACAACTCGGAAGCTAGCGGCGCATGGGTTCCCTCGATCGAAAAGCTATGCATTTTCCCCATAGACTTTTGGAAAATCGCAAAAAAAAAAGATCTGTGTTTACCTTATACGTTTTGTCTATCAAGACAATCTTTACAAGTTAATCCAAAATATATACATTTTGAAGTTTTTTAAAAACATAAGCAGACACAATAAAGTTTAAAAAACCACCTTATTTCAGGCCATTTAGCAAAAACCCGTTCAAAAATCCCATAGGCTTTAGAGCGAGGGAACCGGGAGTGCTAAAATGCTAACTCTCTTCCGCGTTTTGGCCTACAGAGTGACGTCGTAACTTTGGCACTCTATATCGAGGCTCTGTTCTAAAACCTAGTAAAAAGCTTGTGTAACATTCTTAACACAACACCGGTTTCAACTAAAAACGCAAAAGTTTTGGGGTGTGAAAACGTTTTAAAAAAGCGAATTTATTTAAACGATACCGTTATCGTCTCCATGTAAACTACAAAAACGGTGACATCATGCGCATGCATATTCATCTATAGACCCGTAGTGTTTCTTTACAAAGTGACATCGCCAACTACTGGCCTGGAGCAATATTTGACATTTAAGTCGTGTTCGCGGATCCATTTGAACGGGGGATGTTTTGATAACGTTGCTGTCTCCAAATTGTGCGAAGGAAAATTTTTTACGTTTCAGTACATCAGTGTCGTGTAAACGCACCCTTAGAAGGCGACATAATCACATTTCGAAACTGGCTTTGCACCTATAATGCCTTGAATTGCTGCCTATGTAGGCAGCTCACTAAGTTTTGGGACAGAGCCAAACGAGTGTTGAACTGCAGGTCTCCAGTTCTGGCTGTTCTACGAAACCAAATCGATTCTTTAAAAAAAGAAAGAAAATGCAACAAAGCTGTGCCTGTGATGTTATTTTTGTACCGATAAATGCATAACGCTACGATCATCAAGAATAGAAAAAACACTGTTGTTTGCACCCTGATGAACCTTGCGCTCTCCGACTCGTGTGCTGTTGACGTCTCTGTGGGAACGGAGGCATGCGAGAGCTCGCAGTAAGGAAGAGGGGTCTCCCTTTATTTTCAGCCTTTGGTTATGTTTGGAATAGCATACTACCATACTTACTAGTACATTTCTGTATGCCTACTACATTTGCCAGAATGTGCTGTATATGAAAGAGTTGTTATGTTACAAGATGATAAGTGGATGCTGAATTATACATAGTACAATGTGATGATGACAGCAATGTAGCAAGCTTATCCAGGTAAAATGGCAACCGTTCCGAATACACTTTCAACAAAATAGTGGGAAGCATACAGCGAGTAAGTGGTAAGCTAGTATTCCTTTCCAATCATAGCCTTTGTTGTTGGCCACTTGTTTGTTAAGTGCCTTATTATCAGGTGCTCTTGTGTGAATGTTGTTCCGGTGTGTTACGCAGTGAAAAGCATGTTGCAGCTTCTGTCCTGTACCGTCAGATCTGTATTCTGACACGTTTATGCACTACATACCTCCTATTCTTGTAATAAACTTTAATTTTGATACAACTGACAGCTTTCAGACCTGATTCATGCGTTCAAAATGTCATTACGTTTATATGTGACAACCAATTATACAATAGATGTCGCATCTTTCAGCAACACATTCATGATTACTGGATGAGGACTGTTAAAAATTAGCTTTCAACAAATAGACATTTTTATACGGACTAAAAAAAAAGTTACAGTAATACAATTTTCTTCTACATCAACCATGGCCTGCTAAGTCTCCTCCATTTTTGAACCTGCAGTTATAAAATATATTAATAATAATAAAAGGACAATAATATTTTATATTATTATTATAAAAGCACACAGCGAATAACAGGTTTCACGCGCTTTAACGCATAAAAGGTATTGTTTTTTTATTTAGCAAGCCGTAACCATCTAGATCTGAGATGGAAAATACCATTTACAGCCAATAGCCTACAGGTAATTTCCAAGGAAATATATGTTGTCAAATTTTTATAGCCTCTTATAGCTGCACCTATTGGCCGATTTCCATAAATGTTTGTATGCTTCTTTACAATCATACGTCGCATGTGCTCACCTAATTTCATAAAGTTCTACATAAATAAGCCATATTATGTGATTTGCCAAAGAAATATATAATTTTACACCTTTTTAACAGTTTTAGCATCACCTATGGCCTGATCTCCATAAAAGTTTGCATGCTTATTTAGTCATATTTCACCTATAAGTGCTCACTTAATGAATGAATAGTTTGCAAAAGTAGTTATATCCTATTTTTTCGTAGAGCAAATCAGAGATGTGCGTTTTGTTCGCCATGAGCAAAAGATTCCGACCAAAAGTTAAGTTATGAGCGATTTCATACTTTTGATCACTGTAGCGCCACCATCAGGCCGACCGGGCGCGACTCTCTACGACTCAAGGTTTGGTCCGCCTGATCACTTTTTTTTAGCAGAAGGCCGCTAATTATACTAACAGAAACACAGTACCGTTCAAAAGTTTTTTTTCTTTCTTTTAATTCAGCAAAAAATCATTAAATTGATTAAACAAATACATTAAATACATTTTTAATGTCTCAATTATAAGATTTCCATTTAAAATAAATGCTGTTCTTTTGAACTTTATAAGCTGAATAAAATTATCACCATTTCCATAAAATATTAAACAGAACAACTTCAAAATAATAATAAAAATGCTTCTTGAGCAGCAAATCAGCACATTTCTTCATTATACAAAATATTTCCCCCTTATTAGTTATATAGAATATTTTATTATAATTTGTGAAAAGCTAAAGCAGTGAAAATGTAGTTAAAGTCTCATACGGTGCTTTTATTTTCTTCAATTTAATGCAACAACAATATTTGTGTGATTAAAAACATCTCTACTAGACACATCTCAATCCAATTCTCATAATGCACTTCTGGAGGTCTGAGGTGATGTGCTTAATAATTCTACGCCACTAGAAGCACCAAATAGAAAATTGTAACATCGTCTCAACCAATGGTGAGAGTTAGGGATTTGGCTACCCATTTTTTGTAACAACAGAAGTTTGCTAGAAAATATATTACTTTTGCATTTTAGTTTTAATGCTGAAAGCTTTTAATGCTTTTAATTAAACACTTCACCATCTAATATCCAATGTTTCTTATGTATTTAAAAAATGCATTTGATCATAGCCCAAGCAAATATTTATACAGTATATATACACAGAATTTAAAAACACATAAAACTGTACCGCATTCAAATAAAATGTATAGCCGGATTAAAATGTACAGTCTTTTTGCATTTATCTGAATAGCCCTGCATATTGCTACGTGCAATAGAAAAAGCATTTGACCTGAATCATACCTGTTTGACACCTACACCTGCAGCCGTTCTGCAATACCCTGATTTCTGCTGTGCTCAACTGCATCAGTATTACTGTGCGGCCTTTTCGCATGTCTGCACTTCTCCGCCGCAGGTCTCGCACTGCAAGGCGGCCGAGCGATAGGCCTTCCACACCACAGCATCTTGGCGGCACACCGTTCCCCCACCTCTCCTTTCCTCCGCCTCGTCACGGTTGATGTCTCCTACGCAGACCCAGCCGCCCGACGTCCCACTTCCAGTGCGGCTGCTGCTGGGACTGACCGCCCACTTCGAGTGGTCCTCTGTGGCCTTGAACGTGACGCTCTTGGCTGGGGAAATGAGATCTACGTTGAGGACTTTCCAGCTGTCAGAGCAGTTAGAGGGCAGGAGGCCTGTGGAGCGACGCCAGAACTGAACCAGCAGGTCGGACTGTAGCGCAGGTGCCACCCAAGAGTGATACAGGTCTGGTTATCAATGAAACAGTGAAATAGTAATATTACTTATTTTTTTATAAAATGCATACACTGGGGTATGTTTTACACATTCAGCCTTTATACTTCTGTTACTTGTCATTTCTTAAATTTAACTTGATAACTTTCAAAGTAAATCCTACACCAAATTGTTTTCAGAGTAGATAATAAAGCCATGCGTTTAAGTTGAACTTCTTTTAACTTGTAATGCGTTTTATTAGTAAAAAAAAAATCTGAAAAACAGCTAAAATGCATCACAAGATTTAAAGGGATAGTTCACTTTGAAATTAATTTTTGGTATGTTTTAGCTTACCTAAAGGGCATCCAAGATGTAGGTGTCTTTGTTTCCGCAGTAGTTTCAATTTTGATATTTTTAGGACAAACCGTTCTTGTCCGTCAGTCATATAATGTAAGTCTATGGTCACCACCTCAAAGAGCATGCACAGAGAAGTCCAAATTAAACATGATTTAATGACTCGTAAATGTAAATACACATTGATGGCCTAAGACACGAAACGAGGATTTGTGTGAGAAAACGAACAGTTTTTATATCGTTTTTACCTCTTGTAACCACAGCCATGTCAAAGTGATCTGAGGGCGTGGGCACGTCGGTCGGCGCAAGCGCTGGAAGTGATCTCTCGTGCCTGTATGTCACTCATTGTTTACACAGAGGTTTCAGAAGTGCTACTTTTCACTGTGAAGATCTAAATATATTTAGATATACAGGAAATCGCAATGGAAGACGATTTCAATATATCAACAGACAACCACAACCGCGCGAGAGATCACTTCCGGCGCTTGCGCAGACCGAAGCGCCCGAACCCTCAGATCACTTGCATATGGCTGTGGTTACAAGAGGTAAAACAATATAAATACGGTTAGTTTTCTCACACAAACCGCTCGTTTCGTGTCTTAGGCCATCAACGTGTACTTACATGTACGAGTCATTAAATCATGTTTGATTTGGACTTATCTGTGCATGCTCTTTGAGGTGGTGACCATAGACCTGCATTATATGACTGACATGAAAAGAACATTTGGTTTGACCTAAAAATATCAAAATTGACATTTCTGTGGAAACAGAGACACCTACATCTTGGATGCCCTTGAGGTAAGCTAAAGCATATCAAAAATTAATTTCAAAGTAAACTATCCCTTTAAAATGCAGCCAGCTTTAATAAACAGGGCAAACTAGCCTGACCGCAAAACCAAAAAAGTGCCAATAGGAGTAGGAAATTCTGAGCCTGATCTACTGGCGATGAGCAAATTAAAGAAAGACACAGCAGAAAATTTCCATATAGACCAATGCGATCTACCGAAAGCAGAACAAATTAACATCTGGTTTAAGACATGCTTCTTTTGGCTGTCATAAAAGGCACAAAAAGAAGTAATTTTACTTAGTAAATCCCCTAGCATGATTTATTTAAACACTCTCCTCCCATAAATGAGCATCTGAAAAGGAAAACTGCATGCATATGCGATAAGTTCAGCCACAAAAATAATCTTGTCCACGCCTTTTCAGTGTAAATGTTTCACTGTGTCTGTGTTTTTTTTAACGCCAAAAGAGTGTTTGTGCTGCCGCAAGCTGTTAGTAAATGTGTCCCTAAGATGTCAATCTAGTACATATTTGCATAGAATAACTATTAAAAAATCTGCAAACAGATGCAAGAAAAGATCCTCAACATGACCACAACAGATTTGTTTAGCAAATAGAGCTAAATGTTTAACTCTTGATCGTCACACATTTGACTGGATGGCATTAAAGTGTCACCATTACATCAGTTTTAAAAATGAGTCTTACCATTGGCAAAGGATGCACCTTTTGCAAAGCTAATGAACTCCGTTCCAGCCAATGAGAGGAGTGATATACTGCGATTGGATGGGGAGGGGGAGGAAGTGTTGTCCCATCTGCCCAGTGTGTGTTTACAGAGCTGAGCCATAGCAGGAACAGCAGCCGCCAGGGACGCAGGGATGCTGCAGTCGTATATGTGAGGCTGATTGATCTTTAACTGCTCACCTGTAAAAAATAGATTATGCATATATTATAAATAAATGTATATCATTAATATAATTATTATTATTGCCAATACAGTTCATTAGTCTAACTGTGGGGTGGTTATGGCCACAGCTAAGCTTATAATATATATATATATATATGAAGAGTTCAGATGCAAAAGTCTCTAAATGCCATTTGAAATTTTCTTATTTAATGACGATTTTTGTCAAACTTGTATATTTAAATTCATTAATTTCACTTAAATAACAATTAATAGGTAATTATCATTGCCATTTAAGTGAAATCACTGAACTTAAAATACAAGCTTGATAAAAATGATCATTCTAGAAGAAAATTTCAAATGGCACTTAGAAGCTTTTGCATCTGAACTCTTCATATATATATACATATATATATATATATATATATATATATATATATATATAAGTTTTGGTGTCTATTACAATTTGCTCCCTGTTTTATAAAAGAAAAAGACTGTGTACCTGTACGTCTGAAATGTACAGCCTTGACTGGCTTATTTATTGAGTTTCTCAACCTTTCTTCCTTATCTGACCCATCAATTCCAAGCCTTGGAGTGTCCAATAACAAGCTAATGTTTGATTAGGAATAGTTTGAAATGTGTACTGTTGGTGTCCCTCCAGGAACAGGGTTATTGCTTTGTTACTATTATTGAAAAGTGATAATACTGTGATTTATAAACACAAGACTGAATGGACTCAAAGAGCAGCACAGTAGTAGGTGTTGTCACTATGGTTACTGTGTCAGAAGGATTACTCTTTAACAGTCACTATGGCAACTGCATCCCATAAATGTTTTGTCTTCAGAAATTGCATATCAAAAGGTTATTTGAGAAGAATTTCACGCAGCGTTTCTAACATCAGACACTCTTTAAAACAAGCTTATGAAAATGTAAAACATACTAGTCCACCTCATTCATACATGCAGTCATGCACATTAAAGTACACCCAAAAATAAAAATAGTTCAATAATAAATTAAATTATTTTTTTTAAGAATATTGGTAACCAGTTTTGTTGTTCCATATAGGTTTGGAACAACATGAGGGTGAGTTAATTTTGGGGTGGACTGTCCCTTTAAAGTGTGTTTAGACTAAAACACTTAATGCAAAATATGTTCAAAATATGTGCAAAAACTGAATACGTATCTATTGCTTTAGGGCAATAAATTAAAGAGCTCATTCTAAACCATCACAATTTTTGATTAAAAGGCCATATTATTAACCTTTTCCATTTACTAGAATTGGTTTTCTTGCTCGAATGTTCAAAATACACATTATTTTTCGCATATTTGACATTGTTGCAGCACCTCTCTTACCAGTGACATGTCCGTTCCCAGAAGAACACTCAAGACTACAATCGAGTCGAGTTCAGAAACTGCGCGCACTGATATAGAGAATAACTCCCTCTGGAGGGACTTTAAATGCATTGGAGGCGTACCTATGGTCTGAAAGCGCTCAAAAGGATATGTGACACAGATGAAGTTCTGTCCATTACTTATGCCAGAACTGGGGTATGAGAACTGGCCAGCTGATTTAGGAGGGGGGAAATGAGGTGTGCTGTGGACCAACCAGAAGCCCTGCTGCTTATCAAAGACAACAACCCCTGGAACAAAAGAAAAACTGTGTATTAACATGATCCACACAATAAATGTGCGTTTGTGTGCCTTAAATAGCAGTTAACTGCACCTTTGGTGTGGCCACAAATCCTGCTTGCACCTTCGAAAGTCTTCTGTTTTGGTGGCTGGTCATTATACATAATGTATCCAACATCACCGCCCTGGAAAAAGTTAAAGCTCAAAGCTTCTTCATAATAAACATGCCCTTGTGAAGAGCATGTGATATAAAGCATAAGTTCCTCTTTTATTATGAAACAGTTATGTGCACATATCGCCATTTTAGCTTCTTTTGTGCATGTTTGTTAGCATGTGTGTACACCGAAAAAACACTTATGAGAATAAATTAACTAGGTCTCTAAATTTATGCCACTTTTAAATGTAGTATAACTACATAGATTTTAAATACATTTAGAATTAAACCTTGGAATGTACAGTAAATGCCAACGCAGTGTTTTAATACTTCTGCAAAATGGGGAAAATGTGCAGACTACAGAACAGGATAAGCAGAGTCATTTCTCTAAAATCAGCCAGAAAATGACTGATAATGAAAATATTTGGAAAAAAACAAAAGTTGGCAAAAATTGGCATTTCTCTTTTTTTAATTTAGCAAACAACTTTATGGTAAAGTCATGTTGTGCTATCATAATTGCATAATTGGAGGGTGAGCTGTACCTCATATAAAGGCCCTACTGTTCTACCAACACTACTTTGACTGTCATTGACTAAAGTCTTCCCGTCCATCCATCCCTCGCTCTCTCCATCCATGAAAAGATACTTCAGCCCCTCCTGCATGGGGGAATGATGCAGGTGTGGGAGTTTATACAAGTAAAACCTGCAAGGAGAGACAGAAAAGAGGAAAATATGACCCCATCACATGGATGAGTACATTTTACATATGCTAGATCTATGTATGAAGAGTTCAGATGCAAAAGCCTCTAAGTGCCATTTGAAATTTTCTTCTAGAATGATAATTTTTTTTATCAATCTTGTATATTTAAGTTCAGTGATTTCACTTAAATGGCAATGATAATTACCTATTAATTGTTATTTAAGTGAAATTACTGAACTTAAATATACAACTTTGATAAAAATCATCATTAAAGAAGAACATTTCAAATGGCATTGAGAGGCTTTTGCATCTGAACTCTTCGTATTAACTTATAAGTAAATTAATTAAAAAAAAAAAATTAAATTACATGATGTTTAGATGTGAATAAAAGCCTAAACTCAATCTGTTCATCATATAAAGGGATCAGGTCTCTTCAGAAAATGTGAACTAAACCGCTAAATTCATATGGATTAGTTTTACAATCTCCTTATGAACTTTTTGAAGTGTCAAAGTGGTAGTTGCGTAGCTGTCAATGGGACAGAAAGCTCTCAGATTTCATCAAAAAGACCTTCATTTGTGTTCCGAAGATAAACGGAAGTCTTACAGGTTTGGAACGACATGAGGGTGAGTAATTATAATAACAAAATTATAATAATAACATTTTTAGTCAACAATCCTTTAAATGGGTTCGTTGTGAATAAGCTGAGATCAATGAAACTATCATTGAAATAAATTAAAACGATGGCATTTACAGTAGTTATTGAAGTACACTATTCAAATGTTTTGGAGCACTTACATTTTTAAAATGTGTTTGTTTTTTTTTTTTTGTTTTTTTTACATCTCTCATCCTCTCCAAGGCTGCATTTATTTGATCACCATAACTTGGACACTGCTTGACATGACATGTCAACTACCCATCATCTTTGATGTCACAGGATGTCCTCTTTGAGATATACAGTGCTAGGTCTTAAAACTGTGGCATGTACAGGTTTGACATGAAACATACTGAATAAAACATATATCCAGAATGAACAGATGAACTGTGTCCCAGTGGACTATGACTGTGATTGAAGATGTTGCATGTCATGTGTTTCTATGTCATTTAAAAAATGTACAAACCAGTCAACAGGTTTCCCCTCATCATTATAACATGAGATGGATGAAGAAGCTCCTGATGCATGAAGGAGGAGCAGAACATGAAGCAACATGATGGAACTTAAAGAACCTGAAACAGTACAATAGTTTCATTGAGTCTGTCGGGGAAAAGCAAGTGCACAAATACAATAACAAACATTCTCAACAACACCACTTTTACACTAGTACAAACAGTCTGAATATTAACGGGTAGCCTATAAAATGTTTTATTACTCCTGTCAGTTTTTTAGTTTTAATGTAGGCGTTGTATTTGCTTGTGGTCTAATAACAAACTGTGACTGAACTCCAAATAGCTGCAATAATGATTAGCCTATCGAATGTTTAGCCTACCTTAACGAAGGCAGACGATCTGCAGAGACAGAAGTAACTGAATCATTTCAGTCCTTCCGAAAGCGAAACTTTTTCAAACTTGTCATGTTGTCACATGTAGCAGGTTCACTGTAGACGTCGAATTAAAAGCGAGTAGAATGGTAGAATCGCATTTAGCTGAACCCAAAATGGGCGGGAATTCGCGGCCATGATGTTTTCATAAATGTTCGGATAATAAATATATTCTTATTTGAACCATTGTGCATTTTCATTTCAGTGTCTATTAGAGTTTCTCAGTGTCATTATCCATGCGTTTATTATTATAAACAGCGTTGGTAAAACAGGGAGAGTTGTCATGCTATATGTGTTACTTTTCTCAGCGCCGTCAGGAAGAACCAATGTCTGTCGTTTGTGATGACTGGGTTACTTAGTAGTAGCGAGGAATAGTTGTTTAAAAAAAAATTTATAGCGTGTATATATATATATATATATATATCTTTTTTTTTTTTTTTTTGGGGGGGGGGGGGGGGGTCTCTGATGGGTAGGTTTAAGGGTGGATTAGGGATCAGGGGGTGGAGCTGGATAGGTACATGTAGCCTGGATTCGACTCCTCCCCGTGGATTTCATGTCAGAGCCCTAGTGCGCCTCCTGGAGGAAACACTTTTTTGTGATTTACAACCGTATCCATCACTGACGTTGTGCAAGGTTTTTTTTTTAATTAGACATTAAACATTACATAGCTATAAACAATAACATGACATTCAAAAAGACAACAATCCAAGATTTTCCAAAGTTATTTTAACATAAATAAGAAACTAAAATAAAAATAAAGATCAAGGAAAAGAAAATTTAAAAAGTAAAATTTAAATACCGGGGATAAGTCTAACCAGTGATGTAGTGGTGCCTGGAGAAGTGGGTATACTCTTAATGGAAAATGGCTTGATGTTGTCAGAATGTGGACATTTTTTTTACAGCAAGGGTTAACAGTGCAGTTATTATCAATAAAAACTGTCACTAAGAGTGAAAAATTTCGTCCTGTGTTCCGTCTTTTAAACTTCTCCTCAACGTGCATGCAGTGTAAATAAAGCAGTTGCATCAATGAAATGATAGTAAAGTCAGTCCACGGCCACGCCCCCATGCTAATGGTACCGCCCACGGCGCAAATTACAAGACGAAAAAAAAAAAATCAGTTAGATTTCATTTATTCAAATGTTTGTTTCTGAAATCACAATTTAGCACAAGTAAAATAGAAAAAAGGGAGAAAATGCAACTATACATTGATAATGTAACTGGAAAAACAAGAAAAGTGAATGTCTGGTTTCCATTTTTCATTTTTTCATTTGCATTTTATGGTCCGAAAATTGAATTGTGAAGTGTTACACGGACCAACGGTGCATGCACCAACATGAAACGTGCCAGTTTGTAGCAATGTTAGAAGAACAATAAAGTATTTCGTTAATTTTTAATGATCCTAATGAAACAATGTTGAAACGTTATAAAATGTTTGAAATCCAAAGAGAACCTCGTAAAAATCATTTGCATCTGTATGAGGTATTCACCCTCATGATGCAGCCTAAGGGAAACCACCGCAGTTAATTCAACGAAGTAAGTATTTCTTGAATCTCTTTCGTAACTTCCCTATTCTGTTTTTGTTCACTGGAGACAGAGACTGAAAAATAATGGCCTAAATTAAGAGAAGAATCATCATCTACATCTGTGGGGAGAAAAAAACATTTCACCCTCAGGCCTTTTGTAACTCTATGTTTCTGCTGTTAGTAAGACGAAGAAAGTTATTAGTACATATCTGTGCATAAAAATAGGTAGACAATGTAGCATATTAGTGATATGCCAGTGTCTCATAGAGATTTACAGTCACATTCATTTGTGAAGCGGTCAGTGGTTTACAAATATGGTTATGTAAAATAGGCTACAATCAGATAATGATGTCGGCTTCACTTCATGTTCAAATGGATGTCTAAACTCTTTTGCTTTACTATGAATAACAGATGTTTAGTCAATTGTGGATTTACTAAATGAATATTAGGAAGGCTATTTGATTAAATGTTCTACTGCATCTCCTTCTTCATGCCAGAAGAAGTCGCTATGGTCTACTTTAAACACTGTCCTCATCCAGCCTGAGGCTATGGAGGATTTCTGAGAAGTGTTTTACTTATGGTTAATAATATGATTTTACATCAACTTCCACCGTTAAACTATTGTTGCTGTGGTAAAGCCATAGCTAATCGCCACAAAAAAAGTTGTACTTTTTTTACATCCCACCACAGTTAAACGCTTGTTCCTGTAGTAAAGCCAGTTAATTTCCATAAAAGATCGTTTTACTTGTGGCTACTACGATTATACAACAAATACTATTGTTCCTGTATAAAAAAAACTGTTCATATATTAGTTAAGTTCACTTAAAGAAACACAGTAAGGTCTCATTTGTTGACATTACTTAACAAATTAATTAACATTAATAAACCTGCCACAAGCAATATATTGTTGCAGCATTAAACTTGGTTAATGTTAATTAATAAATTGTCCATGTTAGTTCACAGTGCATTAACTAATGTGAACAGATACAATTTAATCTTAAAACGTATTATTAAATGTTTAGCCAACATTAATAAATGCAGTAGAATTGTTAATTCTTAGTCCTTGTTAACTAAAGAAGTTAACTACCAAATAAAACCTTATTGTAAAGTGTTACCAAAATAGCTTGGTGGTTTTAAATCCAAGAAATTCAAAACTTCACTTCAAATTGTACATTTTCATGACATCTCCAAAACAGATTTTTTAACTTTGAATGAAATGACTAATAATAATGACTGAAAATTACAGTACATATATTCCACGTGTCATAGTCATGTAATAAAACTATAAGAAACTTTTTGAAAATGACAAGGCTACGCTATTCCTTTAACTATTCCTTGCCTTTAACATAAGAAGAGATTTTCTTCACATAAACATTATGGCCTTTTTATTAAGAAATTGATTAAGGAGATTAACCATTCAGGAGAGCAAGGTGCAACTGCAAACTCAATTGAAATCAATATGCAATAGCCATTTTAACTCTTCATCCTCCCTATTTTTAATTTCTATTTTTCTTCCCCTTTGTTTTTGTTGTTTTTTTGTTTTGTTTGTATAATCTTTGTACCTTTTTTTATTTTATTCATTTATTTATTTTTATTTTTTATTATTTTTTTTATCCCCCTTATTTTTTTTCTATTTATTTATTCATTTATTTATTTGTATTTATTTATTTATTATTTTTTTTTATTTATTTTTTTGTGTATGTGTATATGTAGGTATGTATGTATATATATATGAATGTATGTCTATGTATATGTATGTATATGTGAATGGATATATGGGTATGTGTGTAAACATGCAGATATGTGCGTATGAATATGTATGCACGTGTATGGGTTTATACATGTAGGTAAGAGAGATATAGATGCATCCGTATTGCCATCTGTCGATTTTGATTGTATATTTGTATACGTTGGCTCACTTTTCTCCTTTTGTATTATTATTTTGTTTGTTTCTATGTTCATTTGTTTGTCTGTTTGTTTGTTTTTTCCCTCTTACTGTTATGTTTGTTTACTTGTACTCTTTTTTTATATTGATTCCTTAATAAAAAAAAAATAAAAAAGAAAAAAAAAGAAATTGATTAAGAAATGGAGCAAAGTAAATGTGGTATTAAAAGAAGTGCTTCACGATATAGTACCTCAGTTCCCCTAAACATGTGTGTGTTTGTGTGAACAGGAGGGATGTGGATGTCAGCAACTTGTGGTGATTGCCCTGTGCACCTTGCTGAAGGTGGAGTAGAGTTTCACTGGAGACAGAGACTCAGAGAGAGAGAGAGAGACAGACAGGCGATGGCCAGCCTATCACATCCTTCAACTTCTGCTTTCTCCGGCTCAGCGTCCCACGCCGTGCGCACTCGGATCTCCCTCTTCAACAAATGTGCATTCATGCATCCACAGACGGCTGGGAGCGTTTGCTAAGAACATCAGAACCAGGTGCTGTTACGTCAGAAACAGGTACTTTCGTGATAGTTTTTGAAGTCACTTATTGTCTTTCCTGCTTTTACACACAGTGCTGAGATGTGGGTACGCGTAATTCTGACCTTCATTTACTCTACACTTCTCCTGTCAGGTAATTTTGGACAAGTATCTTGTATTTTTATAGTGAGACGTGCATGTGATTGCTTAATGCAGATGATCTGTGTCTTATGTGCTCTTATGTTACCTGTGTGCCCTTGCTGCACTGGTTATTTATATTGTATTGATCCATGTTTTTTCCTGTTGTTATCCCTGGCATCAACAACCCACACCTTGCTGAGGTCAATGCCGGCCTCTGGTTACTCTTCTGTTGCTTTACAGGAGTCAGGGCCAGTCAGTGGCTGGTGTATTTCTCCAGGACGGACATCTGCGTTTGGGCTGGGACCACGGTTACCCTGCCGTGCCGATACGACTACCCCTCGCCCTACAGCTTCACTCGGTTCATGTGGTTCCACATCTCTGTGGAGGGCCGGCGGGAAATCGCCTACCATACCGACGGGAATCAGTTGAGCCCCTCGTACAGGGACAGGGTCAAATACTTGGGGGGCCACAAAAGATGCAGTTTGCAGATCGCAAACGTGAAGCTGAGCGATGCAGGAATGTACCATTTCAGATTCGAGACCGACAACCAGCAGGAGAGATGGACGTCACCCGATGCAGTCACACTCTCCGTCACAGGTAAGGACACACTTTAAAGATTGAAAGTGGGTTTCAAAATATTTACCCACCCAGTTACAACTATTCATTACTGTTCAAAAGATCAAGGTCAGGAAGATTTACAATATTTTTATTCAGCATATATGCATTAAAATGATCAAAAGGGGCATTATAGAGTTATAATATTATCAAATATTTCTATTTTAAAAAAATCTTGTTCTGAAAAAGCTTCTGAAAATATGTATCATTGTCTCCACAAATATATTAAGTAACCCTTACTGTTTTTAATATAGATAATAATTAGAAATGTTTCTTGATCAAATCAGCATAGGATCATGTGACACTGAAGACTGGAGTAATGATCCTGAAACTTCTGCTTTACATCACAGAAATAAATTACATTTTAAAATAGTAATGTTTCACAATAT